GGAGATTCTTCTCAGTCTTCAGATTCTACACAAACACCAAATTTATCTTCTAATCCAACAAACTCTACCGTTACTGTTGCACAACTTGCAGCAGCAGTTTCTAGAGCAAGAGCTGGAAGTTTTCCCCTCTCCAATCCTGCTTCTTCCACTTCAGCTGGCAGCACGAATTCTGGAATAATAACTACGGAAATGTTTACACAAGCTATGCAGCAAGTTCATTCACCGTCCGTTTTACCACGCTCTTCGGATTTACGACGAATGTTAGCGCAAATGCATGAACTAGGATTGCAAAATGATACATTAAATCTTCGAGCATTACATCTCACAAATCATGATGTAATAGCAGCAATTGAACTTGTGTTCAGCGGATTTAGCAATAATTAAGTTTATAAAATTAGAATCACCAGTGCCCTCATTTGAACATTATATACAAAAATATAACGGTATATGTCTTATTTTTATGCATTAAACTGAATGATCTTTATGAAATTTAAAAAATGGAAATTTTCTTTAATTTCAAAAGAACATCAATCATTGTAATTTCTCTGGTTTTAAAAACAATTGTTGAAAATCTATAAACAAAATTTTCGAGCTAGATATATAAGATAAAACTTTTATGTTAAAATAAGAAAAAAGAATTATAATCTGTTTATATACTTTTGATAATATTAATAATTATATTTTATACAATTTTGTTAATGTACATAAAACTGACAAATATAAAGAAGTAATAAAATTGAATACTTAGTAATTAATATGTTTATTTCTTGTGAAATATCTTTTATCATTTAATATTTCCGCAAACTGATGGTTTTGCTCATACATGGTTTACATACATACATGGTTTATGTTAATTTTATGCATTTTGTAATAGCACGTGCAAACCATGTGGTATAATAGCGGTATTTACATTGCAATATTAAATAAATACGTCATACCCTTTAACTGCATGATGATAAAAATAATATTGCACTAAAAATAATATTAAAAATTGATCTATTACTCGATTCTTATTTGTTATTATCCGATACAGTAAATACATTTATACGCACTTATATAGAATAAAATTGAAGTAAATAAAATTTTAATTGAAAATATTACAGTCTAATAAAATATTCAAATTAATAAAAAATTTAAAATTTACACCAGATAAAAGAATTACAAATTTCACGAACTTAAACCTTAAACCTGCAATTGCAATACTGCTATATATTTTTTATTTGAAACAGACGAAAAGAAGAATAGATTATTCATAAAGGATGTTCTGACAGCGAGTAAGTAACCTCACGACCTTTCTTTGTAAGAAAGTGCATGTACAAAATAACGCTTGTATCGTGATGGTCTTTATGACATGTGTACAAAGGTGGTGCACGTGTATGTATACATATTGGTACGAATGCGACTGCGTGTGAACTAGTGTACGCGAGCGCACGAACGGTTTAGCTAGAGTGAAGGGGAATTGTGCGATGTTCCGTCAGTAGGAATCGGGATTTTGTGACGGCTGGACGCGTCGTGGAGTGGCGAGTCTGAGAAATCACACGAGTACGTATGACAGAAGCGGCACGTGCTTACGCAAACGTATAAGTGTACACATCGGTCCAATTCTCGTACAGTGTAAGTTCATTGACAGAAAGGACAGTCGCGTCGTGGTGTAACTGGACATTAGTTAAGAAGTTGCCGGCTTCGTTTTATGTTACCTGACATGCGGTCGATTATATTCCAGAAAAACATCGAATGTTAGCATCGTTGTTTCATATTCAATGGACAGATGTGAGAACAAATCGAAAGCGTGAATATTCATGGCGTGAGGTTATGGGGGGATCGAATACCTGACGGATACTCTGTTCTACTTGACGGCCTTTTTACGTGACTGAGAAAGAAGGTGAAGAATGAAATGCTTGCTTCTATTTATTCCCTTATACCTGATCCCTTTATGAATGATTCCTTTTCGAGCATCTGCACTGGCCTTTCCCTTTTGTATCTATACGAATAATGCTACAAAGTACTAGACTTCATTCGCCGGCGTCTAGGGTGAGTCGGCTTCCTTCCTACAATAAACCCCGTAACGTTTCTTCAAACTGTTTATTTTTTTAAAATGTTTATTTTCTCAGATTTTCGTCATTTCTTTAATAGAAAATTTTACAATATCTCCAATATAAAATTTTATTATATCTATTAAAATACATATTTTTCTTAGGTCAATATTGGGGTTGATTAATTCCGTTAGCAAATTTTTTAAAAGTTTGTGTTCTTACAATTAAATTTTATATATCGACACGTGGATTGTCTATATATATGTGTGTGTGTGTAATTACATAAATTAATCTTTCTTAGTTGTTAATCGAGATTTTGAAATTTTCATGAACAGACTACGATCAATCGTGAAATGATTAAAGAATATCCGAAAATTTAAAAAAATGAAGAAAGAGAATCGATTCCTTTCTTTCTAAAAAGACCAATCGAGAGGCATGCTAGTGTTAATATGAATTAGTAAAACATGACATAATATATGTATACATATTTATAATAGAGAAGACAGAGAGTAGCTGTCCTTTTTTCTGATAAGCAGCGATATACCGACTTCTTATTATTTTTTGACATACAACGATAAACTTAAGAGAATATTAATCGTATTTAAAATAGAACATAGAGAAAATCATTTTACTCATACGTGAATCGACGACACAGTCGAAATATAAAAAAGTAGGTGAGAGTTACCAGGATATTTGCCACGGTCTCTTGCTTGTCATGAACGTTTTTGTGAACATTATGTGAACCAGCGAAGTACGACTTCCGGTATTTCGCTCGAATTTCAAATTTTTCATTGAATAATCGAATTGAAATATATTAGATTCTTAATATTTATGTTAAGTCAATAGTCAAAATAGTGTAAACGAAATAAAAAACTGTTCGATGATGAACGAAATGTAATCAAATGATATCGTATACTTGCATGAAAGAAGACCTTTTTCACTTGTTGATTAATCTGATATTTTCCTTGGCTTGTATAGAAATGTTGCAAGTTTACTTAAATTATGTTTTTAATTTACCATAATAATTTTCAAAGGGAAATAATAAACAATTTCTGAATGGGCCGTAATTCGAAACTATAGGTAATTATTATACTTAAATGAACAATAATTTCATATGTAAATTCAATGATATACGATCGTTTAACAGTTTCAGGTTAATATGTTACGCGATACTCCTGCGTTGCAGCTATTTTGAAATGATACGGACTGACGAGCTGTCGTTAAAAATGCAGTTTTGAACTTGCGTAAATTAGAATGATCTAGTTAGACGTTAATCGAGACCAATTTTTGCTGTAATTACTTGGTTTACTTTATGTACTTCGACTTACACCGAAATTTGTTCTTATAATAACAAGACAAAAGGTCTGTAAGAAAGTATGTAAACCGGAAGTCGTCCAAAGCCGAAAGGCAGGGTCTATGTTTAATAGATAATAACAAGACAAAAGGTCACATAAATTCTTTTCACAACTATTAATTCTCTTTACGATTCGATTCTATTCCGATTTTAAATCGAAGTTAAGTTAATTGTCAAGAGCGGAACATTAATTGACAACGAATAGAGTGCTTTTCCATTATTAGTATTACTTTTTCTAATTACCAATAGCATAGCTCATTTGCAATGAATTTCCATTTTAATGAAATATTTATGGTAGTAAAATAACGAAGAAGCTGCTCATAAAGCGATTGAAATAGTTACACATTCGCTTATAAAACTTTTCCGCGAAGCGTTTAATTGTTCGTTTAAAGTACACCCAAACCATTAACCGTTAAGGATGCATTGCCAGCCTCCCATCTTTTTTAATCTTGTCACGAAATAAATTATAAAACGTTTATCAATTAATCGAGTACCGCCCAAGATCGTTTCACGGAAGCAGCGTACCATGCAGAAAGAACCTTTTCTCATTTTCCATTTTATTAATTTGAACTTCACAGATGTTGATAAATATTTTCCTTCTGTTCGTACATTAAAAAATAAGACAGTTAGTTTCTACTCCAATCAGAAAACTATCTTTTTACGGCGTTAGAAGAAACGATTAATTCAATAACTAGATCATTCATGCATTAACCCGTCGAGAGCTAGTAATTATGTACGGAGTGTTGTAAACAAGGGTAATTTCATAATTGACAAGCCTACGCGGCAGTTGTTAACTAATTGTAACTGGAGAACCAAGGGCATCGGGTATCGATCGTATTTAAGACAGACCGATTCAAAAAAATGTTGCGAATACGGATTTTCATCTAGTTTGTCCCGTATTAAAATCGAATACTCGTGAATAATTCCATATCTACAATGGCATTTGCAAATAATCTTTACGATCGTTGCTTTCGGTCAAGATCGTTGTAACTTCTCCTCCTTCGTTCTTTCAACGCCCTTCCCGGCTAATATTATTCAGAAATTGCAAATGCCAGTCGCATTTTTGTAAACAAGATCTCTCGGCGGTTACTTAAAGATCGATTAGAATTATCAAACCGCGAATGTTTATACATTTATAGAAAATTTGAAGATGCAAAAATTGTACACTTACAAAAAATTAAATTAGTTGACAAACCTATGAATCTGCCTAAACATCCGCAGTCTAGCTATTAGTCAGTTCCAACCTTTTTTTTAATTATCAAACCACATGTATAATGCAAAATGAAAATAGATCTTCGTCTTTTCGATAAAGACAAAAGGAAGTTACGTTCCCCGTTATAAAACCTTCCAAGACTTGACTTACTCTTACAAAGAAGAATATTATCCGTAGTTAACGATTTACAAACTTGCATTCGTGAGCCAACTGTTAATAGAGAATTTTAATTCGAAGGTGAATCAGTAAAGGCGAAACGATCATACGTCCAGTTCACCAGCTTCCAGAAGACGTTGTCGAACCTGATTGTCGTCAGCTGCATCGTCAGCGGCGTAACGAACGAAAAGCAGAAGGATCACAGAGCCAAAAACAAGTAATCAAAGAGATATTGAAGGAGAAGATGGCTCACGAGAACGGCGTAAACGGCGATACCGATTCCGAAACGGTGGAATTGAATTCCCTGAGAAGAACCAGATTCCACGTAAATCGAGTAGACAGTCTGGAAGGTCGTGCCAGCCTTCTTGGCGAACAGGAAACGAGAAAGTCTCTTAGGCACATGACGAGGGAGGCTCTTCCTAGACTGGATAATTATAGAAACATTATGAGTATTCAGGCTGCTCATAGACCGTCTTTGGACGAGCTTCACAATCCCACTCTGCTTAACAAGGTAAGGATGATGATACTTGACCATTAATAGGACCGCTATTACTTTGTTTTATAATGCGTCGGTAGTTGTGTTCATTATGATTACGACGATGTGTGATATTATGCACTTGGTATTCTCCTCGCTTGATTTCCAGCTCCAGACGTCTTTGAATCACCCAACACGTGCTTTTACGAGACAATTTTTCACTTCATTTTGATGTCATTTTGATAAACGAGCAAGTTTATTTTCGAGTCTCGTTATCGCGTTATTTATTGTTCTTTAAATCGTTGAATCGTATAATTGAATAGTAAACTCGTATAAAATTTGTTTATCGTTTAGAGAGAAGTTTCATAATTATTTCGTGGCTACTAGAATGAGATCAATTTAATTTCAATTGAAGCGGTAGGTAGAATTTACGCTTTATGTATATGATTGATGTTGTTTTACATAACGTCGTTTGCATTATGTTTGCACGTCGCGAAATTGCAATTACAACAAACAATTAATCAACTTGCAGCTTATCGCTAACTCAGTCAGTGTGTCGGTACTTCGTTTACAGACTAAACATTAGACTTCAGCGACAAGGCAAATAGTTGTGGAAAAGCATAATCAATGAGACTCCACCCCGTGAAAAAATTATGTGGGTCGCTTGAAAGTTGCCCTTTGTTATTTAAACGAGTGTCAAGCCTTAAGATCGAGTCAACGTTCGTTCGGAGAATTTTCGAACTATATGATATAGTATACATATACTACGAGAGTATTCGAACACTTATCGTAGAAAATTTTCATGAATATAATAACACTTTTTGAAGTTTCATTAGCATTGCAACGAAGTGATACGAATGTCACGATTATGCTGGAAGAATGTATACTAGTAAAGCTAATTTGGAAATGTATACACAAGTTGCGACATATTTATCGCAAATATATGTTTGATAAAATGATTGTTACGCGAACGATGGTCTTATTAAGTGTCGAGGCTTATTGATATAATGGAGCATTGACTGTTTAAATAATTCTGTGATTTTAATATCCTGTAACTTTTAATATCTTGTAACATATACAAAATATTTTGTACAACAAATGTATGGTACAGTATATTTAGAATAAGTTTCTATACGTGTTGCCTTGTATAGTCGTCGCGTTTTCTCTATCTTCCTCGTTTGAAACAGCGGTACGTCGATGCATGTACGAACACATGTACGTCGGCTGACACGGTGTACATTGACATTCAAGCATTTCTTAACCGAGTTCGTCCCTTATCTACGACCCTCTCTCGTCAACTACTCCGGTCTAAAATTAACCAAGTATAGTAAACGTGGTCGTGCACGCATTCGCCAACGAACAATGCCTTACAGATTCGTTCATTCTTTCTTCATATATATGTTCATACGTCTGTTGCTTGTCGATGAGATAATAATTAAGCAGTTTTGTCAGATTGTAGGAGAAAGAAAAAGCATAGATAAATAACTGGAAGAATTTTGCGAGACTACCACAACGGAAACGAAGGGAAATGAACAGTATTTTATCTTCGTTCGTACTCGCCACGCTGATTTATCAAAAGTCTGTGTATATTGAATGTACGTCTGAATTTGTATTACTAGCTGCTGAATCGGTGTATTCTTTGTATCACATAGCGTTCCGTTTCCTGTTCGTGTTACTCGGAAATGGTAAGAATCAATGGAAACGGCGCTATATTTACGAGCTTGTTCGATTTGAATTTATTCTGTGTCGGAAAGCGATAACTTTTTTTTTCGATAATCGGTTTGTCGTTAGTTTCTTATGAATATTTTAGTATCTATACACAGTGTTTATCAAACTTAGCTAAATAAGCTTGTTATTTTATTCATTTTCTGAATGCCTTCTAATAAGTTACATAACTTACACGATTAAAGAAAACGATATTCATCTTGTTCTATTTACCGTGATTGACCTATTCCTTGTGATAACAAAGAGGCTTCGTTAAACGTTATTTTCTTAATCCTTCTTCCACTAAGAAACTGATTAGAACGTTTGTTTATTCACATCATAATGTTTCACTCTGTCAACTACAGTTGATGCAATAGTCCAACAATATTTTTACGTTCGATACATCTGTTAAAACAAAAATTTGTCATATCTAAATACCTTTTTCCGAAACACAATTTGTCGTTTGCTATTTATGCTTGGATCAATATCGAATTAGATGAATTTCAATGAACCTGATTTCATACTACACGTACCGAACAGCTAAGTAGGGAGTAAGATGTAAATATACCGTGTTTTAAGAAATAGTACTCCTAGAAAGGATAACTAAAACGACTAGTAGGGTTTCTTAATTGTATATCCCATTGTGTAAAAGTATTTAAAAATACAGGGATTAGAAGCGATTAACCCCTTTCTTGATTAACCCCAGCTGAAATCATATAACGACGGAACAGACGTTACATTTGTTCCCATCAAGTTTTCTCATTTCAAGTTGACAATAAATCCTCGCCATTAATCATAATAGAACAGTTTCGAGCCAGCAGAACTTTTTCACTAAGTCTCATGGTATGTTTAGTTAAATATAAGCTCCGCTAAACTGACTACTACGACGAAATATGATATGTCCGGCATAACCGTAGGATCGTAACGACTTAAATCCATCATCTAGATTGCCCCTGACACGGGGTTAACTATAATTCAACCTAAATAAATTTTGGATACAATCGAGTTCGCTCGATCGCCTCGATGCGTATAATCAGATCGATTGAGACGAGTCGGTACGGCCAAACTTATTCGATTACGAGCAACCACGTTCCTCAGGTAATTCGAGGAAGTTGGTTGAAAGAGAAAGGAGAGGACACGGAGCGTCTTGTACAGTACGTGACGAAACGAAAACTTTCCAAACGGATCAAAGGAGAAAAGGGAAGAGCTAGAGGGCTAGAGAACGACACAGAGTTAGAGAAAGCACACTGTGTGGCATACATTAGATGGATGGTCATTTTTTGACAATGTTAACAGGTGAAAACGCACGTGCGTAGTTTATCGATCGTGCATTTGGATGTAGAAATCATTTCCCGACGCGCTCTCCTTTCTTGTTAATTAAAATAATGAAAAGCGAGGAGAAAATATTCCATTTCCGTCTCTTTATTTAGTCTACGTTACTTGCAATATTTTAACAATTAGCTGCGTTACCCTTAGTAAATTTTCATAGTAAATTTTCAAACATCGTACGTTTATAATGCTTCCGCTTTTTGTTTTGCTTACAGAGCCATTCGCTGCTGCTGTTAAGTTTATTATCAATATCCATTTTTGAAAATTTGAAAGTAATCCACGAACCTAAACAAGCTTCACTTTGAAAGATTAAAAAGTCAACATTGATTAGCGATGCGTCTTTTATGAGGTTTTTAATTAAAAGATCAAGAAGGATCGGCAAATATTAGTAAACGCGTATGAGCAATTTTTATTTTTAGGCGCGTATCGATTCATGTGAAGCCAAACGTATTCTTGAATCGTAATCTTTCGAATCGACAGAACTAATTAGCAACGCGTCTTTCAGCAGGATGAAAGTCGACTATGTTTTTGTCGTTGTCTGCGATTCCTATGGAAAACGAGCACGATCGAGCGCTATTTTCGAGATCGTTGTCCATTTCGTTGGAATTAATTAGCAGAGACTTACTTCCGCGAAGATCGATTATATGGCCCTTGCCATGAAATCTTAGAAATCGCGTGCAGAAACGCAGCAACCTTCGCGGATCGTAGAATGTTAAAATAGGAACCCCCACGTTCGGCTGAACAATTAAAGCATCACTTGAAGTAATCGTAAATGCCATGAGACTGTCTCATCCACAACGCAATGCTCGACAAATCGTACCGTCTTTTCGAGAAATTAACATCTTTGTACAAGCACAATAGAATTTTGTCTTACCATGAGGCACCATTTACTTTGATCATTTTATCACGCGTTTGTATCGTTGCGGTTATCTGTTTCTCTTCGTCTGCTTCGTCGTACCAAGACCATACGAAAGTCGTTGAACGAATTTGGTATCAATGCATGTACTCGTTCTTATTACTTCATCGTATCAGTCGACCGCAACGTGCAAAAGGTCAATGATAAACGATTCAATTTTATTTGACTAGATCGATTACAGAGTAATAAATATGTAGATTGAACGACTGACGACGGTGAAAAGGAACGAATAGAGAAGAAAATTGAAATATCACTTGTAAATCCAAATTGTGTGGCACACATGAGTTAATGATAGCATCTGTAGGACCAGTAAAACGCGTGCTCCGAATACATTACGAGTCGAGAGATAAGCGTTCGTTATTATTTGACTATTATACCACGTATCGTACGGACGTGTCGGTTTGAAAGAGTGTGTATGTGGCCAGTAGGCGAGAAGCGTGTTCTTTTCCTCGTCGATTTTTTCTTTCGATGCAACGCGCTCGTAATTCACTTATGCGCGTCGTAAGTACTTACGTGCATGATCTGCAACGATGAACAGACGACTCATCTTTGGACAGGCTGCTTTTTCTCTCCAAGTATATCTTCATAATGTACTGGTTCCGAGAAGAGAAGGATCAGGTTGGTGCCTCTCGTTGTAACATTTCAAGGTACAATAATTATAGTAAAAGGATCGCTCGAGAAATTTTCTCTCGTTAAGTTAAACAATTTGCGGCATTGAGAAACACGACACGTTTTTACGAGGCGATGAAATTGTTGAAAGTTAAGTTCAAATTCTACACTTATATTTGGACTGCGTTATCGAGATTGAAATATCGAATGATTGAGAATCTGAAAATATTATTTGACAGTTCATAAGCTTCTTGTCAGGGTAGCTTCATTTATTTGATCGATTCGAGGAACATTCTCGTCACGTTACGAAGGGTAAGTCGACGCAAGATTGGCTCCGTGCAGATGCTTAAGAATAATTTTACAATTATACCGAACTTCAAGGCACGATATTCGAGGATATAACGGGAAATAATGGGATGAAATAATCGTCTCTCTAAGAGTTAGACGCTAGTTGAAGCAGGCTCGTAGAAAAATATCTTTGAACCGCGGATATTCGTGCTTGCTATTTATTCTTCGAATAAATTTTTGGCGTATTAACGATAGAAAAGAATCATCGTATTAGCTGGTGCAAATTGAAATAAGCTGCTATAAAAAGCATTTAGGTAATTCATAATACCTAAATGTTTCAGTTTCGTATCGAAAATCCTTGATTTCTCTATTCGTCGTAAATATCATGTTATTACAGAGGGTGTAATTCAATTAGTGTTTACATAGTAGCTTGTTTCTAAGGCTTCTACAATCGTTTGTTTGATCAGATCCATACGTATTTAGAGAGACGAAAGTTCCTTCAGCTTTGTTTGATTCTCATGTAAATACTCTGAAGAGTTCGCATCGACACTACTTCGTTCTATAAATTCCACTTTTCAGCTTTCATTGATTTAGATTTCCATTGTTTTAATTTCGATTATTGTGTTTATTCTGTTACGCCTGGGATTTACAGCGTAGATATTGTCAATATCATTATCAATGTTATTTTTCATCCATAACGAGTAAAATATATTTTTGCTTATTGATAATATTCGCTGCTAATCGTCGACATTTACGAGCTGAATTTCTAAAAAGTATCTGAACATTGGGCGACGCGTGTAATGTATGGCATGTGAGGCATTGTTACGTAAATCGTTAGTCTTCATTGGTTGACTGGCGACCCTTCCTCTAGACGAATCACCTTCAATGCCGATAACCACCTCTAAATCTCAATTTACGCGTAACACTCATATAGAGAGATCTACGAATCTCTCGATAAATTCTGCAGTTTATTTCCATAAATACTTGTTTGTTCCAATGGACCTGGAAACTGAAACAATCTTATTCGTCATCCAAGAAAATCTACCAGTCATCGACCAGTATGTAGGACGATGATTTAACTTGAACTTGAATGAAGTAGATAATTGATTGTAATACATCGATGTTGTATTTCTATTCGGGCTTAAGCTAGATTGAACGATATCATTAAGTCGCTTTAAAATTATGCTTATTGCTTTAATGTCGTAGGACCCAGGCTCGCATATATTACAAATAGCACAGGTGAAATCATCGATTTCCGGTATAAAATTCGGATGGATTCAAGGAGTCTTATTGAGATGTCTTCTGAATATTTGGGGGGTGATGCTCTTTCTACGACTCTCTTGGGTCGTAGCACAAGCTGGCATAGGTAACTATGAAAGAAAAAAGAAAAAGAAAATGTATCTTATAGATTTCATGCGATTTTCCTTCTGTTCCCTTTAGGGGAAGCTATTTTATTGATTTCAATAACGACAGCTGTAACCACAATAACATCTTTATCGATGTCGGCGATTAGCACAAATGGGCTCATTAAAGGAGGTAAATACCAACGAATACGTACCTGTTATATACTATCGATTCGAACAATGATTGGAAAAAATGTGTCTACGTCGGTCGACACGTTTTGCTTTCTTTATTGTCTCTGATGTCAGATGATAAGATTAATTACTTGCCGCAGGTGGCACGTATTACATGATTTCCAGATCACTGGGACCCGAATTCGGAGGTTCTATAGGACTTATATTTTCTTTGGCGAATGCAGTCGCTTGCTCCATGTACGTTGTTGGATTCTGTGAAAGTATGGTTGACTGTTTAAAAGCGAATGGGATTTGTATCGTTGATTGCGACAATACAGACATCAGAATTATAGGTCGGTATAAAAGGCCATGTACATGATTTTTTTGGACAGAATTTCTTATGGTTCCCTTCCGTACAGGTTGTATCACGATAGTTCTGTTGCTGTTGATCGTTATGTTCGGTTTGGAATGGGAGGCGAAGGCTCAGATTGGTTTGCTGATTATTTTGCTCTTAGCTATCGCAGATTTCATGATTGGCACCATCATTGGACCTAAAAACGATCAGGAACGGGCCAAAGGATTTATAGGATACAACGGTAATACATACGGTTACTGCTGATAATATCATTTGTTCAAGAGATAGTAACTAAATTATGAATTAAATAACGATGAATAATCAACATATGTTACAGATAAAATATTTAAGGTTTTTACAATAGTTTAATTCATATCCTATTTTCTATATGTCCACAGCTGATCTATTTAAAGAGAACTTTTATTCGGACTACAGATACAGCGAAGGGATGGAACACAACTTTTTTTCAGTTTTGGCTATTTTCTTTCCTGCGGCTACGGGTATCCTGGCAGGTGCGAATATATCCGGTGATTTGAAGGTGATTTAGCCCTTTCGTCTATAGGGAATATCTTTTAACATTTTGATTGCTAAGAAGTTTCATTGATATTACATTATATTGTTATTTTATACATTACATGTTATAATTACATTATATTAAATCTTAGCATTTAACTCGCCGTGTATCTTAATGTTGCATACATCTGTAGTATTAGCAACAAATATATGTCTATTATAGTCCATACAGAGAATTTGTATTTTTGATAGGATCCACAAACAGCTATTCCTAAAGGAACACTGTTGGCTATTCTTTTAACAACTATATCTTACCTCTTTATGGCGCTTATGGTGGGCGGCACAGTTATGCGAGACGCGTCTGGTGATATTAATGACTTGTGGAACATTTTCAATAGTTCATATACTGCCTTATCGAGTTTGAATGCGACTAATGAAACAACTGAGTCCCCAATTGCTACCTTAAATACTAGCGAAATAGTATGGAGCATGTATGGCACAAAATTTAATTGTACAGGACATTGTCTTTATGGTAGTCATAATAGTTTTCAGGTATTTCTTCTGACAGTTAGCAATCAAAGGAATGCGAATGAATATTTAATTTTCATATTGACTATTTCATACGATTGTTTTAGGCGATTGAATTGGTTTCTGTATTTGGACCATTTATTTATGCTGGATGCTTTGCAGCTACTTTATCAAGTGCCTTAGCATCACTAGTTTCTGCACCTAAAGTATTTCAGGCACTTTGTCTTGATAAATTGTATCCTGGAATAGAGTGGTTTAGTGGTGATAAAGACAAAGAGCCAATTCGTGGTTACTTTCTTACATTTATAATTGCTGTTGGTTTCATTTTAATCGGTTAGAGCTATACTATCTTGTTCTAGATAAATAATGACATTATTCACCGATGTTAATTGTTTCTAATAAAAAATTTCATTTATTGTAGGAGAATTGAATGCCATAGCTCCGTTGATCTCAAATTTCTTTTTGGCTGCCTATACTCTTGTTAACTTTAGCACGTTTCATGCTTCATTGGCTAAACCAATCGGTTGGAGACCAACGTTTAAGGTACAATTTGCATTAAATTATTTTTCTAACAAGAGATTATTAGTAGCAAAATAAATTTTATTCCAGTATTATAATATGTGGCTAAGTCTTGCTGGTGCTATTCTCTGTGTTTCTGTGATGTTCTTGATCTCATGGTGGACAGCGCTAATCACGTTATTCGTAGTTTTAGCACTTTATTTAGTAGTCTCGTACAGAAAACCAGGTAATATTTTACAAATTAAGTATTTTTTATGTTGTAATGACAACGTTAATAATCTAAAAATGATTTCGTAGATGTTAATTGGGGTTCTACGACACAAGCTCAGACATATAATAACGCCTTAAACGCTGTTCAGCAGTTAGATAGAGTTGAAGAACACGTTAAAAACTACAGACCTCAACTGCTAGTACTCAGTGGTACTCCAAGTACAAGATCAGCGCTCATTGACTTTGCACATTATATTACTAAAAATAATAGCTTATTTATTTGTGGGCATATTATCGAGGTACAGTATTTTTCGGTAAGAAGTGATACACATCTTTTATGTAATGTTTAATACATTTAAATTTCCATACTTTAGTCACCAATTTCATATAAGACGCGCAATTCCATGACCGTGAACTGTACTTCGTGGTTTAGAGCGAATAAAATTAAGGCATTTTATTCCATGGTGGATGGTGCAAATTTTCAAGACGGCACTACTTCTCTTTTGCAAGCCGCTGGCTTGGGAAAGATGAGGCCCAATATTTTGTTAATGGGCTACAAACAAGACTGGGCGACTTGTCCTCGAGAAAATTTGAATATGTACTTTAATGTAATGCAGTAAGTATTTTCATATAATTAAGTATAATAATTAAATGAAATCAAAATTTCACGAAAATTTTATATATATATATATATAGCAAAGCTTTGGACATGCATATAGCAGTAGCACTTCTTCGAATAAGCGAGGGTTTAGATTGTAGCACGGTTGTAGGAGATGCTGAAGAAGAAAAGAAAAATGCGCAAACAATTCCAGGAAATCAAAGCTTTTCCCAACTTAGCCAAGGTTTGTAGAATATCTGAAAAGCTTGTTTTCATAAACACTGAATTTTTGTTATAATCCTTATCGTGCCTTTAAACTAATATTTATTCTTGCAGCTAGTAGTACGTCAGATATTTCTATTCCTGGGAGTCCAGCTCCAAGAAGGTCCAAACTAATTAACGAATATCCTAATCCAACTGCGCAAGGTCAACGCGAAAATCAACAGAATTTTCTACCGGTAGCAAAAGATATACTTAGTACCGCAACAAAATTTCAACGTAAGCAAAAAAAGGGTACGATAGATGTATGGTGGTTGTACGATGATGGTGGTTTAACCCTTCTGCTACCCTATATAATCAGTACAAGACGTAATTGGTCTAATAGTAAGTTAAGAGTTTTCGCTCTTGCAAATAAAAACTCAGAGCTCGAATATGAGCAAAGAAAGTAAGTATATAATATGTATTTCTACAAGCAAAAAAGAAAGTTAAAACAAATTTATTAATATTATTATTGCTTTATCATTAGTATGGCAAGTCTTTTATCGAAATTCAGGATAGATTACTCTGCCTTAAACGTGATACCAGATATTTCAAAACCAGCTCAGGATACTACCAAAAATTTCTTTAATACACTAATAGCAAATTTTCAAGAAACAGAAAATACAAAAACAGACGATGGTAGTATTATGTTAATTACACGCGTATTTTGATAAAATTCTAAAAAATTCCTAAAAATCGATTTATTTTCAGATATCATTAAAGATTCTGAATTAACCGCTATGAATGAGAAAACAAATCGGCATTTACGTTTAAGAGAATTATTACTTGAAAATTCAATGGAAGCTAATTTAGTAGTTATGTAAGTACTTGTATAAACAAAATTACACTTTTACCGTCATGTTTTCAATTCACTGAAATTATTTTTGTATTATTTTATTCTCCTTTCAGGACATTGCCAATGCCTCGAAAGGGTGCTGTATCAGCACCTCTTTATATGGCTTGGCTTGAAACTTTAACACGCGACATGCCACCATTTTTGCTTGTTCGAGGCAATCATACATCCGTCTTAACTTTTTATTCTTAATAAGGGAAAGCAAATAACAATACTTGTGCATTGTGACGTTAATAACTATCAAAGTTAATTGAAGTATTTTACCAATGACTTAAACATTATAGATGCACATACGAATGAATTGATTAAAATGAAAAGTAGAACTGCCGCGGAATATAGATAACAGTAAGAGGCCTTTATAATGAGAGCGACACATGTTTGAATGAGTTAGTATTCAGGTGTGTTTAGCAAGGATTAACCTCTGAATACATACAACGAATGCAGCAAGACTGTATTATTTGTTAAAAACACGTTCGCTACGATAACTGTTCCTGAATTTCGAAATGTTTTCCATCCACCAATTGTAAAAAGAAATAACTGCATCCTCATAAATATTTAAAATAAATGACGTTATCACATACTGTAAATTGTACAATCACCAATAACATGTTTTATATATTTAAGTACAATTATTCAAAATTTCGATAATATATAAAGATATTATAGTTAATTAATTAGAGAACTATTGACAATCGTTAAATAAAATATTTTGAATAATTATAGGCAAATATGAAATATGAAATATGAAATATAGGCAAATATTAAGATAAAAATTTGAGAAAAAATTCCTAGGTGTAGCACTATAATTGAAATTGGTATCTATTTATATCAAAGTATAAAACCATGTATAAAATTTTAAAATTAAATTACATTGCAGGTACTATACTGAGTCACTCATAATAAAGTATTGCAAATGTTTTGTGAGAACGTTTTTTAAATACGTAAATCTCTTATTTTATTAATGGATCTAGTAATAAATACATTTACATTCCTCCATTCACTTAGGTAGGGAATCAATTAATCAAAACTAGACTATAACGTCTAGCATATATTTTTTATTTTGTTTACAACTTCGTAGCCTTATACACTTTGGAAAATTTTTTGAGAAATATACAGAATGACACTAAACCTAATATTATAACGTGTAAAATATTCGTTGTGAAATTATTTTCAATTTACAAAATTTATATAATTGCAATAAAAAAGAATAAGAAAAGTTGCAAAAACGAAAGAAAAATTTGGATTAATATGAAAACATTCATATTAAAATATATAAAAATATAACAAACTGATTTTAATATTGTCATGATTTTAAGAAATATCAAGAAATTATATTATAGTACTACAAATCGTATTGATACTTTACAGTTGTAAATTTGCCAAAACGGTTTAAGCTTGCTGCAATATATATTGTGTATATATGAAATTTGTTCTTATACAGAAATTTTACTTCTCCTTTTGCTCAGTAGACTCTTAACCATGTAACTTTGCTATAATGTGAATCAGCATGTTAACTCTTAACTATCAGTGCTTTTATATATCATTAACTCTGTAGTATATAATTGAATTATAGAAGAACTCTATTTGAATAGGTGAACATTAAGTGAACACTTTTAATAGACTAGTAGCAAATGCATTCAAAGGTATTAGAATACTGATGATTGATGATTCTAATAACTGATTTTTAATAATATAACACAAAATATCAAAAGTCGAAGACATAGATTGGTATTACGTTTTTTATTTTTATTTTATGATTTTGTTCTTTTTGTGCTTAATTAAAAATTCATTTTGATTTACTTGTATAATCTATAGATCAATTTTTTTTTATATTTTTGGTCTTTATAAAAAAGAAATTTTGTGCAATATAATTAAATTACTATAATATTTTGATATTAAATTTATTGTATGTAAAAGTTCATCATATATTATTAAAATATAAAATATAATAACTAAAAAACAATCATAAAATAGGTTTGAAATCACGAAAATATAAAAAATATGTATTTATAAATGCTGTCATAATAAAATTGAAACGTATCAAAAAAAGATAAATATTATATAAATGGCAAGATAGAAATTATGACTTCATGTGATATAAAACTACAAATTAGGTAAATAAAGTCTCAATATATTATCTCTACTGTAAATACGTTAAAATCAAATATATTAATCTTCTTAATTATAAAATCTCTTTTATATTAAGATAATCTTTTTATAAAATAATTACAAAATAATCTTTCTGTTCATTAAAGTAGTTATTAGAGTTTTGGAGTGACGTACGTGCTACGTCAATATTATAGTTTTTTGCACAGCATTTCGGTAATATTTCCTATTAGAAATATTTAAATTCTTGATTTTATGGTTCACATCAATATATGATCCTAGCAATTTAACACGTTTGCTAGGTTGTCATAGGTTTCTGGTCTTCATTCCATAGCTTAAATACTGCGAATATGTCTGGGTCTACGCACCAGTAAACAACAAGAAGTTAAACCGGAACTAACCTTCGCTAATTCAGACATACGTAAGGATCTGGTTGGAAACTCAATTTTTTCTGCAAAAACTTTACTTGATTGTGGAATCTCATCTTCTGATCTATGAATTAGAGTTCCATTAACATAAAGTACATTCGCTGCAGCATCTTCAGGCACAGTTAATGTTTGGTAACTATAAGTTGCTTCCCTCTCAATTCTCTGCATTATAAACAATATATTATGTAAAAGATGGGCAAATTGAACAGATATAGACAAATGTAAAAAGTAATGATATTTGAATTACAAATAAATACCTTCAAGACTTCTTGAGATTCTTTTCCAGCACCTACACAAATAATATCAGGGCCAGCCATTGTAACTAAACCTTTAAGACGCTTGGATTCAGCAACCTATAAACAATAATTAAATAAAAATATAAGTATTTTCAATCTCATACAATACATGAATTGTAATCATGAATGTAATAATGATAAAATTATTAACCCTTTTTTTTTATATTCATGATATTTATATTATTTCAGATATAACTTAGGTTAGAACAAAATAGATACATATTTAGATAATTTAAGCATCATTTTCATCAGCTAGCTTTTATAATAAACACAATGCATAAAATAGAAAATGAAAAATGAATACATATATGTAAGTCCTCTGTAGCATTGCATAAGAAAAATAACCAAGTAAAATTGATAGAATTACTATTTTTGATTTATGAGTTTAATATGCATAATAAGAGTAACAAATAATGTATCTTCAATCAATTATTAAAATTTTATAATTATAGAAATTTAAATATACTTTTTAACAAAAATATTTTTGTATATTCTACATACATTTTTTTTTATATATACTTATAAAATTGATTGAAGTTGCACAGTATGAAGTTCTGCAATATGACAAATTTATGCAAAAAGATACAAACATTAATCACATGCAAGAGTGAAATATGATCTTGTGTATCAGTGTATGTATGTGTTTCATGTGCATAATTACACCAAGCCATAACTTACATACTATGTATATAAAACTCCATTTCTGAAAGCATTCTGTTTAAAATCTGTAATGGGTAATTGTAAAAAGTATATTCACAAACAAATTTGTTGGAACCGTGCAAAATTGTGTTTCTAAATCGTGAAATCTTTTTTCAATATAATATGCAAAAGAGAGTCAGTCTAATACACCCAAACCTGAATTGGGGCTGAGGTAAGACTCTCCACTATCACCTCTTCACCACCATCACCCACCTTAAATGAATACCAGAATGGTAAGTTGTTTGATCTTAACCTTTTGTTGTGGTCAATCATATTTTATAACCTATATGTGTAAGTGTGTGTGGTCTCACGCGCGTTTTCTTAATATAAGTAGTAATATTTTTTAGTTTAATATTTACTAACAAAACTATTTGGTAATTCATATGCAACTAATAATATAGACTATAATTATTAATTTAATATATGGATATAAAATCCAAAGTACAATTACCCATATAATATATTATTACATGACTTCATTAAACTAACTTTCAAGATATAATAAAGACTACATGATATAGATACTAATAATACAAAAGTATATTTCTAAAACAATCACAATACACATATATGTTTTAATTTCTTTATAACACATGATACTCATTGATGACACAGATTATATAATGAAATAAAAATGTTAAAAAATATCAAATAAAATCCAATTATGCAAACAACATCAATTCCTTCTTACTTCAAGAGATATTTAACAAAATAATTCATGCATTATTTTACACTTTTAGAGTAAATATAGATTTATATAAAATAGAGGACTGAAATGTTAGTGTAATATATATTAAAAAGCAGATGACTATATAAATTATATTAAATACTACTAACATAACTTTTAATAATTAACCAACCTTAATAGGTACACATGGATATTCTGGAAATGCTGCTGCAACTGCTCTTGCACCTGCTTCATTAGTATAATGAGACAATCCAACAAAAAATTCACGACCTATAATAATCAGTTACTTCTGTTTAATAATTTGGTTGTAAGTTCATTAACTTAATATTAAAAACAAAACTTACCAGTAAATAAAACATCTCCTCCATCTAGACGAGCATTTTTGTCAGCTATTTCTATAAGTGGAATTTCCAATTCCTTCTTTAAAACAGCTCTAATTGTCTCAATCTGGAATTAGATCATCATCATTTTAGTTACTCACATACTGGAAACATTACAGAATAATAATGTTAATACATGTAACAATATAATAAAGTTATATTCTTTTTATGCGAATATGCACGAAATAATTGTTCAATTCATATTTTTAATTTAATGTTATAATTTGATATACAATATAGTATATTGATATATACTTAAAATGATATTTAATGATTTAGCTTTTCTCTTAAATAATACAATAGCATAATAGACTGAAATTTCATTATTTATATAAAATAACAATAATATAATTAGAAACTATTTATTAATTACTATACGATTTTATAAATATACCTCTTTTAGGCGCGATGGTTCATTGGGCCGTGCTATAAGTGCAATACCATTGCACACAACTGCGATATCTTCGACAAAAACACAGAGCGGTGAATTTTCATCCGGTGGCATTTCAACAACGTCGATGTCGAGTTCTCGTAGAAGCTGAGCAAGTGCCAAATGTTGAGTTCTAGCTTCGTCTAATGTGACCTCGCCTCTTGTACGAAGCGAAAGAGGAATTCTACATAGAACTGCATGAGTATAGCGATGGAGAGGCATGGTACTTCGATAGAAAGGCTTCCGTATCAAAGTTTATCTGAACTTTATTACTTCTCGTTTACGTAAATTATAATACAATGATCACAGAACTAGTTCTACCAATTTCATTGGAACGCCGATTGCAACAAATGTAGACTTTGACGTTTATGTAAAAACAACAGCAAGACAGTATTCTAAACATTTACATTTGTAATGTCACCAGATCGTAGCGTAATTTTGAATTTTTTAAATGTTGGATTAAAACTTTCGTTTTTTATTACGGAAAATTAGTTAAAAATATTAAAATCTTACAATAATACAATAAATATTTATTAAATAATGATGTAATATAAATAGTATTTCAATTGTTATATTTTTATGTTGCATCCGGAAAATAATAGATTGGCAATGCTGAGTAGAAGTGAATTGAAACATGCAGAGGTACTGTGATTTGTCAAACATTTAAACGTAATTTGTAGGTGTGATAATATAAGGATGAAGTAAAAAAAATTTGATCTACGATGATATCACAAAATATGTGATAATTATGCGTTTTAAGTTTGTAAGAACGTTATTAGTGCTTGCACTACTAGCTAATATTATTGTGTGGCATAGAATATGGAGGTTATTTTCAACGCAAAACACTTTGCGATTGTTGACACCAACTACCGTCGTAACACCTGATCCTCCGCAAAAACTTCATCGGCGATTAGCTCGATTAGTAACTGTGGTTATACGACAATTTGAAACCTTTGAAAATGATGTAACATCCACTGTAGAGTCTGTGTTAAGTCTTTTTCCTACTATACCAATTTTAATAGTAAGCAATGAATTACCATATCCTCCACTGGAATTGGACTTTGCAAATGAAAGCATGCAAAATGTTAAACTAGTAAACTTGCAACCGGAATTTAATAAATCTTACGATGAAAGAAATCCACTATTTTATATACGCACAAAATACGTTTTATTTTTACCTGATGGTAGTAGGCTTTCTACCAAGCAAAGCATGGAAGTAAGAAATATGTTATATATAACATTATTACTTTATTGTAAGGCAATAATTTGCTTGTTTTTAATTGTCTTATATCAAATATTTTTCAGGAGACTGTATCACAAACTACAAAATTAGGTGCTGTAGGTGTACCAGTAGGAAGCATAACTTTAAATTGTGTCAATATAGATTTAAAAGTAAAAGAATGGAGCCTGAAGTTCTCGTACACAGTGGGCACTGAATGTGATGGAATAAATGGAAAACATGCTACAATGCTTGAGACAAAATTATTACGAAAATTAACTGATCCTTTCTTACTACCTTTTACGGATGCATTATATATTCAAACAACTGCATTAGGTGTAAAGGTTTGTAATTTATATTTAATTTTTAACAAAGAAAAGGTTTTTATTTGTATATTTGAAGGTTTTACTTATTATTTCTTTGTTTAAGTTTATGATTCAAATACTATGATCCACGATGTTTAATATATAAAAATATATTAATAATAAGCAAAATTTATTCAAGTAAATAATTTATTACATGTTGTCAGATTCATATGTTGTCAAATTATCATTTCAACGAAGGAAAATCATCATATAAAGGTACGCAATTCTTATGGAAGGTACAACAGTTACATCAAGATCGTGAACGAACTATGTTTGAAAAATTGGGAATTAAGAAGGTTACAAGAGCTTCCGATTCTATAGAATGGTATGGCTGTTCTAGAGAAAGTAGTAGATGTTTTGGACCAGTCATAAGTGGTATTCCATCTTATCTTTATCAAAATCGGTTTACTCCACCTTGCTGCATCTCAGGATTGAGAAAAGTTGCTCATCATGTGTTTGATAAATTAGAAGAAGTTGGTATCAGATATTGGTTAGAAAGTGGATCTTTACTTGGTGCTATGAGAAATGGTGATATTTTACCATGGGATCATGAAGTACAAATAGGAGTAAATCGTGATGATCTTGAGAGATCATCATGGTTAATTCAAGCCATGGATAAACCTGTTGTTGACAATCATGGTTTTGTCTGGAAAAAGGCAATAGAAGGTGAATTTTTTAAAGTACAGTATTCAAAGGTAAACCATTTAACTGTAAACATACTTCCATTTTATGCAAAAAATGGGTCTATGCTTAGAGATGCATGGTTTTTAAACAATAAAGATTTTCCAGAGCAATTTCTTCATCCAATGTCAAGTATCGAATTTGCTGGCAGACAAGTGCCATGCCCAAATAATATTAGGGATTTTTTAGAATTAAAATATTTCAGGGGTGTGATAGAAAATCCAGAACTCCCTGGTAAAATTTCTTTTCAAGAGTTTCTTCATTAAAAGTTAATCTTGTAGTAAGTCATATATGAAATTGGGAAAGAAATTTTTCCAAAATACATAATTTAAATTATGTAATCTATAATTATCTCATCTACAAATATATTTAGGCTTTACAATCTTTTTCCATAATTTTAATCATCCGAATTAGTATATCCTATGAAAAAATTGTATTGGGAATACATTATAGCATTTTCGAATGAGAAATATTATTTTCCGATATTGTATAAGGTTACGCGATTTTATGCTAGAATAAGAATTATTACTAATTTGGCTAGAAATTTAGTATGAGAACAAAGAGAAGGTTCTATAAAATGTCCTTAAAAATGTAGATGTTATATATTTTCTAACATTTATAATAAATATATAGGTACTTAAATTTTAATTGTATTTAAATAATTGCGTATTGGAGATAAAAAAATTTTCTTTTTTTTTGTTTCATTAATAATAAATTATCATGATATCAAGTTCCTAAGAAAGATTCAGATTGTTTTGAATGTAATATAGTAATGAAACTTGTTGGTTAGATAATTATAAAATATGTTTTTTTTTATAAAAGAAATATAGTTTATAAGTTGATATTATGATTTTAATTTCTTGCATATGCATTGTCAGTATTAATTATAGTATTAAATGTTTCATTTCGATTTCGTTTTATACAACAAATAGATGTGCCAAAGATATAAAAATTATTCAGTTTAATGAATAATATACTTTTTATATTTTTAACTGTATTTATAATCAATATTTTTGTATGTTATTTAATATTTTTATATATTATTTTAAAATTATTTCTATTTAATATTATATGTTCCTAAATTGTTTTATATAAATGTTAATATTTTTTCATATACATCATTTTTCTTTCGAAAAAATAACTTGTTCAATAACATTTAATTTGATATAACAACTTATATATAAATATTTCTTTGATATTAAAAAGGTAATTAAAGATAACAGACACTGTGATAGCCAGTGCTTAATACATTTGAAATATCAGAAAATAAGATTTGTGTAATAATAATGCTTGTATTAAGTTTATAGGAAATTGTGCATACTGTTGAATTAAAACTTACTGAATTAAAACACTTTTTAAAACCATTAATCAAATTTTTCTTTGTAAGGATATTACAATTTCACTTGGACCACATTTTCTTATAATATTAGCTATTATTAAATATGTAACTCGATATTTACATTGATATTTTCTTAATTATTATCCTTTTTTAATACATATTAAATTTCATATACAAATTTAGGTAACAACAAATATTATTATATGTATATAATTAATGTAAACTATTTCTGAAATCACTAACTTATTCTTTAAAAGTATTTAAAGACTTATTATGAAACTATGTGGTACTGTTATATATGGAATTGCAAAAACATTAATAATTCTGTTTACAAAGGAATGTATTAAAGTAGTTTCATAATCGTTAATAATTCGCTTCTAGTCTAGAAGACATGTTATAGTAATTATATAGATAAGTTTAAATTTGTAAATCATTCTAAATTTAGTGCCAATTTCTTCATATAAAGACATAGATATTAATATGTATTTTCTGTTATAGCAAATGTTAATAAAGTGTTGATGTTTACAAAAAATTAGAGAATATTATAATTTTTTATTATAGTATTATACAATAGTGATGATTATCATTATTATCTGCAATATATAATTTTCATATCTAAACAGATTTTATTTTAAAAAAGCACATGCAAATATATTTGTGATTAAAAGTATGGCTTAGATTTCTACCCTTATATCTTTTGGTGGTGGTAAAATAGCTGGTTCACGTACAAAACTTAATAATCTTTCTAATTTCATAATTTCTAATTCTCTATCTGTCAAATGAAGTTGCCTCTTAGTTGGTTTTACTTTTAATCTAAGGTTTGGTGACAATTTCAATGTATTTATGGTACCTCTGTTGACGAGACATGAAAATGGAATTGTATTATAACATTATTCATTAAACATACAATTATATTACTGAATAAAACTATAAAATAATTACATACTTATCATCGCCCACTATAATGAATGGTAATTTATTGTTAAATGCAAGTCTAGTTAGTTTATATTTTTTTCTGCTAACAACTGGTTGACTACATATTGGTCGATATTTATTTACATTCAAATCAAATACTGTAACTTTCCCATCATTTGAAACACAAGCTAATACTGTTGAACTATATGGTGCCCATTGAACATCTCCAATGGGAACGCCAAGATCAAACATAAATAAGGGTTCCCTAAAACAGTGCATACTTAACAGATAAGAAAAAATTAAGAATTTAAGAAAACTATGAATGTAATTGAAACTTACATCCTATCATCTTCCCATATTTTTATTCTCCAATCACCAGAACAACTTGCAAATATGCTGGAATTGAATTTATTAAATACTATCCGGTAGACTGGCATATTGTGTGCTTCATTATAAGTTCTCATATAAACACTACTATATGCTGTATTGCACTTATAAATTGTTCCTTCTTCTGTTCCTACCAAGAATACATTTTGATCTGCAGGGTGAAATGCTAGACATGTTCCACAACCTAGTAAATTTTATTAATATTTATTGGAGCTTGTTAATCTTAGAAATTATATTAATGGTATAAAATATTCTCACCCTTAAGTGTAATTATAGTACCATCTGGTCCAGGTATTGGTGGTCTGTCCAGAAAAAGGGTCATCACAGTTGTCAAACCAAGATTATTTTCACTTAATATCCAGTAGTTTACTTTTCCATCAATGCTAACACTGTAGAATGCTAAATTACCTTCTTCCGTGTCTGGTGCCCAATGTACCTTGAACATTATATATCATAAATATTGTATTAATGATAAATACATTTTGAAATAATTAACACAGCGATGTTGTTAGGCATTTTAGATATTTTTATTTGTAATCAACAAACCTCCCACACAATACCTCCATGTTTTTGAACAACATCATTGCTTCTATATTGAGGGACTGTAGGTGGCAACATAATATTATAAACAGCAACAGCACCATCCATAGTACCTTTATCATTAAAAAAGACAATATTATAGTAATGATGTTATAATGAAAATGTACTATATAATATTTGTTTTTATTACCAATAACTAACAGATGTGGATGTTGTTCACTGAAGTCTAAACACATTACGGGAGATTCTGTTGGACAGATCCACTCTGGATATGATGGATTTTTTAAACTAAATAAGCATACTGTTCCATCTATTATCGAATTACTAAATGACACTGAAATATTTTTTATATAAGCATTTGTATACAACCGAATTTTTATATTTTTTACTAACTTGTCCCATATGAAACTGCAAATAAATCATAATATCTACTATTGAAGCATAAATCTGTAACATCATGTTTCTTGGTTTTTTCATAATGAAATTTCCATAAAGGTAGTAATGAACCTTCTCCAACTTTAAATTCATCACTTGGATCATCCCAATATCTGTAATCTAATAATATTTATATTAAATATTTCTCTAAATAAAGTATAAATTTTTTGGGGAGTTACTGAATTAAAATATTAACCTTGTGCTATTTCATCAAAAATATTTTGATTTACCATTCGTTCCAATGTTTTTGCAGCTTGTAACATTCTACATGTTAATGCTGTGGATTCAGTTTGAGCTTTTTTCTTCATATCCTCCTTCTTCAGTTGTAGAAATGGAATTCTTCTTTCTCTTTCTCTTTCACGTTGTTGTTGAGCAAAATCTTCCTAAGATATATATTCATTCATCTTTCTAATTCATATAATTCTAAATGATTTCATTCAAAATAAAATACATACCTGATATTCATCAAAAATTGTCCATTGAAAAACATGGGTATTAAATGTCTCTGTTGGAGGTGGTATTGTTTGGGTACTCATTTCCTATAAATTAATATAAAAATAATTAAATAGATCTTAGTCTATAAAATCTAAACTGTTCTATACTTACTCGCATAGGATTGGTATAAGTTAAAGCAGCTCTTTCACAAAAGTTAAATTGATTTGGTATTTTTTTTGGTTTTACTCTTTCTTCTTCATGATCATCTTCATGGTCAGGTTCAGGTTCATGTTCTTCACGATTTTCAATATTTTTTCAAAATTTTGAATTTTGAACACAGAAATTTTTTAATTATTTTTCACTTTTATCAAAAATAAATATTTAAAGAGATTTTTCTAACTTTCTCTATTATTATAATTAATCATCTTACCTTCTTGCTCTTCAACTTCTACTCCTTCTTCTTCATCTTCTTCTTCTTCTTCTTCTCTTTCTTCCTCATCATCATGTAATATGGCTTCTTCAAAAGGAGTATCCACTACAATGATATATTTAAATGTTACCTAATAAAATATTAAATTAATTGTAAAATTCTTATATTTGTATTTATGGAATTTTACCAACAAGTCCTCCTGCCAATTGTATTCTAGCTTCTTCAGAATCTTTATGCAATAGTGATCCAGGAACACTTAGAACAGTTATTAAATGTGGTGGAGGAGGTAATAATATGAAACTTTTTAATTTCCATGACCACTCAACTAAAGAATCTGGAACTCTTGTGTTATGTATAGTCAGAACTCTTGCAATCTCTTCTTGTAATTCCTAAAGTTTTATTTTTTGAATTAGTTACAAACTTTCTTAAAAACTCGTAGTTGGAATGTATGATGTTTCAATAATGAAAAGGTGCACATACTGCATCTGATAATACTAGTTGATCTTCTGGTTTTAAGAAAACTTTTCCTCGTAACCAATCCATATCACCACCACCTAGATCCACACGGCTCTTCAAGAAGCTTATATGCTAAACATAAATAAGAAAATAGTTATTAATTCTTTATTAAATGAGTCCGAAATTGTATTAAATTAAATAAAATGTGTGAAATACTAACTCTTGCTGGTTCTTTTGATACCTCTGCGACTTTAGAAAGTGTTCTCTTTACTAGTGATGGACGCATGATTCTTGGATTAGAACTTACTTAGTATCCAACTACATAGAGAAATATTGCAAATTAGTGTTTATGTTTATTATTATATAAAAGTTATTATTTTCTCTTTCTATATATATTTTTATTCTTAATTTTTTAATTTCTCGTTTTCTTTCTAACAATAATGTAATTTTAATATTATATTATTGAATAATATTTATTCAAACTCTTACAATTTAAAATAATAATATTAAAATTTTTCAGTTTATGAAAAGATATGGAATTTCGTTTGTATATTTGTATTAACTAAATTGGCTTTTGTACTAGATGAATAGAAAACTGTTCTACTATAGTAAACATATATTAAAAAACTAAATAAAAACTAAACTGAAGTTCTTTATATCTCTTATTTTTCTCAATAAATACATAGAAATAAGTTTTGGTTTCCTAGGAAACTTGTTATACTATCATAACATTTAAATATTATCTGTTTTAAGTTAATAATTCTGTCATACAATATAATAATTTATTTAAGTTACGCCAGGATACAAATTTTAAAGCTTTGAAAATTTAAATATTCGGTGGTTTATATATTAAAAATTTAAAATTATATTATAGTGCTGAATATATGCATAAATAAAGGAATATAATATACTGTGCTCAAATATATTTAATTGTAAATTTATATACATTTAGATAGAGGTAAAGTATACATTTAAACATATAAGATTATCTTTTAAATAAGGGCAATATTTTTAACATATTGTGTGTGGTTATATAGAGAAAGAAAATCAATAATGGAGCATACCATGATAATGTAAGCATGCTTCCTACTAGATAAGTCAGAATAGCTTGCAAATACTTGTGAGTAACAATTTTCAGATTATCTTTCATTAAGCATGGTTTTACATAGAATGTGCATTACATGTAAATTGTATTATATTTCAGAATAAATTATTATTTTTTAAGTACTTGTTCAAAGTACTTGTATATAAAAGATGACAGTACATAAATTAAAGGTGGAATGTGTGCATTGTTATTGAATATTTAAGTGACAAGAGGTATTATTTTATTAGTTATTTTAAAAAATGTTGTTATATTTATACATGTGATTTTGTGTATGAAAATTTTGTGTAATTGGAAATTTAAAAATGTCTTACCTTCATTTCAGATGAATTGATAGATTTAATCTTTAGTTTACAATACATTTTTATTTTGTGATGGAAGATAGTGGGATTGACAGTGATCCAAAAACCACTAGTCATACAGAAGATGAAAGACTTTTCTTGGTAAATATATGATCCATAATATTATCCATTTTATAAATTAAAATTAAAATAAGTAAATAGAGATAATAATGAAAGAGACACGTTGCTTTATTTCTTTTTATTTTAGGGAAGCGATAGCAGTTGTAGCAGCAATCAGACACAGACATCACAGCATAATTCTACCACTAAACAATTGCAAAGAAAGCTTGGTATTGAATTGTTAATTGTTGTTTTATAAATTACAAATATCACAATATTTACAATTTCCTTTATATGTTATCTGTTTTGGGCAGAAGCACGAATTGAACAAGCTAAACGTATTCAGCGTAATTCAGATTATGTGAAGTTGCCAAAATATGATAAGGGATGCGGGAGTGGTAGTAGTGCTGCTGGTCTGATTTCTATTCAAAGACTTCCTGTACCAAATAAGAATAAAGAACATCTTCCTCTTGTTGAATATTGGCATAGTGATAGTGAAAGGTAGTTAATAATATATATATTATATATGTAGTAATTCTTAGTATAGTAAATGTAGTATAGTTATGTATCTTTATATATTTTTAGTGAAGGAGAAATGACTCTTTTTCCAACAACTAAATCGAAAGATTCCTCCAAGCATAAGCAAGATCTAACTGATACATTTAGCATTGAAGAAATGAGTGAAGAAAGTGAAGATTCTTTAAATTTAGGACCTGCACAACCATCTCCGGAGCTCAAATTTATGAAATCTTATAGATGTACTGGTGATTGCTTTCATTGTCAGTGCCACATATTATAATTCATTGTTATGTACATATATCTTGAATATGTTACAGATTATTTTTTATGCATTATTAAATATTAATTTAATCTCTCAAAGTTTTATGTAATTATGTAATATGAAAGATTTTATATATATATTGAATGAAAACTAAATATATCAAATATTTATAAGTTAGATCTATTAAAATGTATAATTGTCTCAATATCTTCCATAAAATGATAAATATTAAGAATAATGTATGAAAGTTGTATTTTACATTTAATTATAATGATGTTTGATGATTAAATGATGTTCAAAAAATTAAATTAATTGCTCTAGTGATTGTATTATGCGAGCAAAATGATACGCGTCTTATTCGTGACTGAAGAAATTATTGCTAAGGAAATTATTCAAATAGTGTTTCTCAATTGTGCATCGGCAGACCTCGTAACGTCTATTTTGTACGAAGTTGCAGTAGGTAATATCCGCCGCTGTCACTTCAGGATATTACTTAAGCCTTAAGACATTGCTATAATGGTGCCGTGCGAAAATTTCAAATTGGTAAAATGATGATAGCGTGTCGTGGCGGGATTTTATGACTGTGTAAATAAAATTTTGCAGCTAATGAAATTAAAGGATCATATAAATATATGTTTATTTTTTCTAGTTCTTTATATTAATAATAAACTATCTTTGTACTTTTATTTAGTATTTTTTTCTGTGACATCATTGCAAAGAAACATAATACTGTATAAGATCACCCAAATAGACGTTTTTGTAATAAAGTCGTATGGAAATCTTGTCTTGTACCAGAGAAGAAATTTCTTCTCTGTTTGTACCAAATGTATACACAGATAACCTGAGGAAATGCGGTCCCCTTCGTAATGCGCGGTTTATTCTGTAATCTAGATCGTCCTCGGGGAAAAAGACTGCGTATTCCATTTCTTGTTTTCTGCAAGCAAACAGTTCCACTATATTTTATACCGTTATAGAGGTTTCCTTTCTGTATTCCCACTCGTTATATCTTACCTGTCCGATCTGGTGTACATTGTGCGTGCCTAGAAAAATTCTTTTAAAAAATTCCTCGAGCTATGTGTATGATACAGAAGTCTATTGCACATTGTTCACGAATTCTTTGTCAAAGATATTATTTCCTAGATATACGTATGTGCCTGTATTAACATTTTTTCCAAAAAAAATTTACTAACATTTTACTTTGATAAACTTTTTATTAATATTAAACTAACTTTTTATTAATTTGAATACTTAATAATAATTAATTCAATATTTGTTCGTCCAATAATTGTATTACCTGTATTGATATGCCTTTAATCTTTACACATTACATACTTATATAAATGTAGTTTCAATATACATACAATGAGCTGAGATACGGAGGAAGCACAGGATTAGCATAAGAAAGGGTGATCCTTAAGTTTTAATAAACATGCGTCAATAGAAGAAGGCAGAAATTCCATTTGACAGTTACGTATCTCTTGTTTAAGCAAACATTTATTTTGTATTTTAAAGCTGTACGTTTAAAATAAATATAGCGTTGGAGTAAGCAAAATATGTGTCTCCTTTTTTTCCGAAGATATTTTAATGTCTGTAAAGAAAAAGACAACTGTTAAATCGGTTATGTTAGTATGTTAGACAAAATTTTGTACGAAAAGATAAAGTTGTATTAATACAAAACTTAGAGCCGCGATAGTTACGTGGGTTTGATGTTGTAAGTATTAACACTCATAGTAATGAGATGAGCATTGCGGTTATTCGTAGCAGCATCTTAGCACGATGCAAGTAAGTAAGTACGTACTTCCCATGAGTTCATTGCTCGCGAAACCCGGCAGCTATAAATGTGTTTGTGTAGAGTTAATTGTTTTTCTTGCCATGTTCTCCTCTCTCTAGTCCTTCACGAAGAGAATTCCTTTCAAATTGATTTAACATATCTATACAATCCTCAAATTTAGTTTCCGAATTACTACTCGACGCAATTGTTGCAAATAAATCATTAAAGTTCGAATTGTCGTTTAGACGTAGATAGGATTCTGTAACCCAGAACGAGTTCCATTGGGCTATTCCTTGTCCCAAGACGAATGTAGATAGATTTGTGGGATTTAGAATAAGTTAAGATCGTTCGGTGCAAAACTAGTGCTATTGAACTTTTTCGACGTAGTGATTGATATTAGCGGGATCGTTCGATTTGTCTAAGCGTAGTATCTTCTTATTTTTTCGCTGATTCTTATAGTAAGCATAGTTTATTCCAGTGAGGATATAGAGTTGTTGCTCGATCCAAGACTGGTCCTGGCGATGTCTTTGGACTCTGGCTTGTTATTCTCGGTTTCTGCTTGTATTCTTTAGCCTTTCAGGTATATATGAATTATGGACATTTTTATGTAAATATATGATTGCACTTTACCATATTTAAACGTACTATATAGGTTTCGCGCGTATAATGTTGTTAGTTTTTATTTCCCATACAAACGTAGCAAACAAATCGATGTAGTTACGAAGGTTTTTTTTGGAAGCACATTCTACGTACGTTACGCCCTCCTTGTATAATAAGAATATCAGCAATTGGACCGCTAATTAATGGCTCATACGTATTAAATTTATTCTTCTCTCTGATATTCTGACCAGTTCAATTTTTAATGAAGCCCACCGCCGTGGATCTTACAGAGAGGAATTAACAACCTGTTGTGCAGGAGATGGTGTTTGGCTACATGATATTTTTGCATACAGAGTGAAACATTTATCTCCCGATACTAGCTATGCATTGTTACAATTTCAAAGAACTTCTTTTACTTGTTGAATACTTTGGCTTTTTTAAAAGTGATATTTTTTAAATTCGCGGCAGACATCATATTCATTTAAATCATTTTTTGTTTCACATAAGTCATAAGCATTGCACATATTAATAAAAGGGAGGTAATCAATGATTTTATTAAAAAGTCACTCTGTATATGTTGCGTAGACTCGGCGTTTGTAATGCTCGTAGCCGCAAACTGATGTATGATTCGTGATACATTGCATATGAATATTTAAATACACCTGGTCTCTCGTATTGCTCTCGTATGTATAATATTATATGAGAGAGATGTATTCACGGGATGCGTCGTCAACACCATCGGTACAGTCATAAATTATGCGAGAGTTATGGCGTATTTTGTAACCAATTTGAAGTAATAAATATCATCTCCTTTGAGAACGTGACAACCTGTAATGTGAGCGCCGCTAATGTCTTTTCATTTATTCGTACGTAACATATGAAAATGAGAAAGAGATTGCAACCAAAGATAAACGCCGATATCGAGATTAATCTACAAATTAATTGAAAATTATTTAACTGGCATCATTTTAACATCTGCCAAAATCGGATTATCAACTTTATTTTTGTTCTGATTATATTTATTAATTTTTAGATATTTGTAAAGCTACAGAATGATATGGAGTTTACTTAAATGAATAGTTGAGTCTATATGAATGAAAAGTGTTCATTATAGCGTTTAGATTTGGATTTTACAGTCTTATTTCTAACACGGCAGCTACATTCTTTTACGTAATAAATGAACTAATCTAATGCGGTGCATTGCAGTATAGTAATCGACAGAGGTGCCGATTTCCCGGGCCACCAGAGACTAAACTTTACCTTCGTATCTAACACCAAACCAGTAGAACCGGATTTCGTGAGAATATGTCCCCCAAGGCTTGAAAAAGGGCGACTAAAATGAAGAAGCATAGAAGAACTTCGTTGGTACGTAGTGCAATGTTTAGACACTATACCGAAATTACGCATCAACTGTGACTTTCCTCTTGAACACCTTCTGAAAGTTATTCAATACCTTAAGTGTGATACATCTTGTACATAGAATAACATTAAATAATTATTCACCATAAATGACAGATGTTAATGCAATAGCCTGGCAGTTACGATCAGTTACAATCACACCGGAAGATATTTTAATGTTGTAGCGACTATTAGAAGGAGGCAAAAGTCTGTCGTCTTCAGAGGCTGAACAATAAAGTATTGTGAATTCTTCATACGTGAGAAAGATGGTTGAATAGTAGTGGCTCATTAAAAGGAAGATACGTTTTACGATCTTCTATACTTTACGCTATTCTAAAACCACAGAAAGCTTCACTACCTGTGAAATCAGCTCGATCTTCATTTCCTCATTTTGTTCTACATATTTTCTAAACTCTACGCTATTGAGTAAACAATCATTATGTCAAATCTCATTCCCATTATCCTACGATCATGCTAAAATTAGACAGCCCGTTTATCAAGGATAATATGCAGGTGGCAAGTCGTGTATTTTTTTCATCTTAATTCTTCCATTCGAATCTCATGGTATGCACATTACTCGATTCGGTTGCCTCTGTGCGCTCAGAGATTACGTATCGCGATCGAACTGCGATTGAAAGTGCATCGACCGTCCGTTTTCTTGTCAGGCTGAAAAACAACACGGATCGTTTGCCTTTTGTGGTGGACAGATAGAGCGAGATAAAGCGGAAAAAGGGAATGCGCGACAAAGACAAAGACGGTGTTCTGCTCTGACCATTACTCTCGGGTCTCGTGTCGATAATTTTTAAGGTCGACGCGGTTCGCGATCCCTGCGGAATACCGGCGAGAAGTTGCACCGGCATTCTGCAACGGCGTCGAGGCGCCGCGATGCGCAAACATCCGTTGTGCAAAGGACATTGGCCGATCGATTGGGACTACGCCAATGAATCTGTCCCGTAACGGGGCTCGAACTACGGTCCGCTGCTCGGCGTACTCGAAACCCATCGCTTCCTGTACCAACGGCTTTTTTTCTCGAACGACCGGGCTTAATTAAATACCGGTAGACCGAGCCATCCCTGTCCTCTTCGCGGAGAGGCCACGCTTACGTGACTGCGACGCGTGATTTTACCTTGCTAAGGCCGGGAATGGAGAGAGAGAGAAAAAGAGAGAGAGAGAGGGAGAGAGAGAGAGAGAGAGGGGCGGTGAG